ACGCAGCTAAACAGGCAATAAATGTGCATTTGTAAATCGGACTTCAGTGTGTCAGCCGTGCAAGGAAGCTCTCTGTCCGCCGCGGTTTGAATGTTAAGTGTCGTAATACTGCTGAACAAAACTAATTTTATATTCTGCTACTTTAATCGAACCATGTATTCAAATCTGCGTCTTTGTCTCCACCTAAAAGCATTTTTACTGTTTTAAGCCTAATAAACTAGAAACAAACTAATTATGTGAGTGAAAAATGTGGATTAACTTATCATAAATCTGCTGATATGACTGAATTCATTCTTAAGTGCTGTGTGATATTTTTCTTTCTTTCTTGGAGCTACAACAACAGTCTGACATTATAAGTCTTAATTGTTCTTTTCCAGATGTTCCAAAACCATAAAAATAAAAATCTGTAACTTTATCACAGATGTGGCGGGAAAACTACGAGCCTCCATTCAACTGGTTTTCTGCAATCTGTCTCATAAAATCAATCATAACACAAAAGACATTACAATTAAAGACATTTGTATCAACAAAATGCTCCATAAAAGCATCAGCATTTGCTGATGTTTCACTGGAAGGCAGAAATGAGCTTTGGACATGAGGTGCATGCACACTTTCTTATAAATACTCTGAACATGTATGTGCAGAGTCCAACATCTGCATTTTTAATCAAAAGAAACATTAAAAATGAGAAAGTCTAATATGAGACTTTTTTAAGACTTTGAGTTTAAAACTGTTCTCTCTCTTTAAATATGTGTGTTTGTTAAATCGTTTTTTTCTCTCTGATGTTTCAATGCCAGTAATTTAAACGTCACACGCGGCGATTTATTAGGAAAGAAACAAACTGAGGTTAGTCACGCTGGCCCCAAACTGTATCAGAGGAAGTACTTGTGAATCGTCAGGCCACACTGGAGGGTCCAAGGAAGTCGATGGAGCAGTTTTCAAAATAATAGTAGGTTTTCACAAAATAAACCCTATGACCCTTTATTAGCATGCTGTGTGTATAAATAGGTAATATGATCAGAGTCCCGGAAATCTACATTTATTATATATTTAATGTTTTTTCATAAAGAATTTAACGGTATTGCTAATTTCCAGCCCTTGTCCTTTGTTGTGCTTTTACATCCATAATGCATAAAACAGATTTACACAATTCAAGTGTCTTTGAAAGACACTATATATTATACACTGTAATTTAAGAAAAAACAAATGATTGAAACAAAAAATGTTTGGC